GGGTGAGGGGGTGGGGGGTGGTGTGTAACAGATCACAGTAGGCACATGCTCAACTCTGGTTTGGGGGTGCTTGCCGGTGATAGTTTCTACACTCTGAGATGCCTTTGGAAGGGCAGGCACCACTGGGAGTCAGAGATCTAAGTAAGAGAGATGAAGCTGTTATATACATGTGTGTATCTTCTTCCTGTGTATCTTTTTGAAAGTCCTACCATTCATCTAGTCACAAATACTAAGTACCTAAAAAATAAAACTAAATACCAAATACCAAAATGAGAGGTTTTGGAACCTGCCAAGGGTGGGACCTCAGGTCATTAGACTGTCCCCAGGGTCCCTCATAGGACTTCTAAGTGTCACCTCTGGCGAGCGAGCACTCCTTCCTCCTCGGGTCCTGCAGACGTCTTCTGCTCTCAGACTTGGAAGAGCTCCCCACCCCGCCCCCGGCCCCAGGGATCCAAAGCTGGGCATGTTTCCCCGTTTCCCGCTCTGTGTCTGGCGCTGGCCCAGCCCAGCCCTCGTGGTCCCAGGCAGGGCTGCTATCTCAGCGATCAAATGGTGGGCAGGACAGCAGGGGGCACGTGCTCTGCCTCCCGCTCTGTCCAGGGACCCCGCTCGCCAGCCGTGGGCGGTTTGGACCAAACTCCCTGCCTCCTCCCTGCTGTGGGCCCAGCCTATAAAGCCACCCAGCATGTCCCCGCCGACCCTGGCCCCCGCCCCTACCTCCCAGAGCCGCAATGGCAGAGCTGCCAGCGTCCGAGATGCCGGGGGACCCCGCGCTATGCAGTGGGCGCTTCACCATCAGCACGCTGCTGGGGGGTGAGGAGCCCCCGCCGCCCACCGCCTACGACAGCAGCCACCTGACCCACAGCAGCACGTTCTACCTGCGCACCTTTGGCTACAACACTATCGATGTAGTCCCGGCCTACGAGCACTACGCCAACAGCGCCCTGCCCGGGGAGCCCCGAAAGGTCCGGCCCACGCTGGCCGATCTGCACTCCTTTCTCAAGGTAAGCACCAGCTCAAGGACTGGCTAGTTTCCTGCCGTGTGACCTTGACCCACGTACCTCACTTCTCTGAATCCTGGCTCCGTCACCCGGGCCATGGGGGCGCTCGGGTGTCTTCTTTGTGGGTTGGGACGCCTGCATGAAATGCGGGCGCGGAAGCTATAAAGCTCCGGACACATGTAGTAATGTTTTTTATGCAGTCGTTGACCACCCAATCAAAGAATCTTGGCCTCCCAGAGAGATAATGAGCTTCCCGACAGCGGAAGGGCACAAACCGAGGCTGCGCGAACCTGAAAGGGAGCCAGGGAGGTGGGAATGCGGCAGGTCTGCCGCGCAGGGGAGGCTCACCGCATTTGCTGCGGGGGAGGCTGGACTCCGGTGGGTGGAAGACAGGGAGCTGGATGGTCGTGACCCCTGCCTGCCTGACCTGTGGCCTCTGGGCTCCCAGCAGGAGGGCAGCCACCTGCACGCCCTGGCCTTTGACAGCCGGCCCAGCCATGAGATGACCGACGGGCTGGTGGAAGACGAGGCAGGCACTAGCAGCGAGAACCCTGGAGAGCCTGTGCGCTTTGGCTGGGTCAAGGGGGTGATGGTGAGTCGAGTGTGGATGGGATGCCCCAGAATGGAAGTGGGGAGAGAGAGCTCCATCCAGGCGCAGCTCCGACTCTCAGGTCTGAGTGGCCAGGGTAGACCCAAGGCCCAGCCTGGGTCTGTCTCCCCATGGGCAGAGCGACTTCCAATTTTCTCTGGTTTTGTGCTTCTCAACCCCCATTTGCTCCCCAGATTGATACCTTGCCCTGGGAAAGATCTCTGGTTACTCACTTGTCCTGTGGCATTGGACAAGTTATTTAACTTGTCTGTGCCTCAGTTTCTTCACCTGTGAAATGATGAGCATTGTGAGTTAATAGACCGGAACGGCTTGGATCAGGGCCTACTTTGGGATTATCAGAAGAAACTGTTTTCATCCATAGCCACCAGGGGGCAGCACTAAACACACAAATCCGCAAGCCTGTTTTTGTCATTCTCAGTGATGGGAAAGGGGAGGTTTCCTGTAGTGTAGAGCACCAGTGAGTCTTCAAACAGCAAAAATCTAATGAACTTGGCTTTGGAAGGCTTTGTGCGACTTTTCAGAGGGGATCGGATGAGAGTCAGAAGGCCTTGGTCCTGTTCTGAGAGGACAGTGGGTGGATTGTGCGGTAGAGGGAGGCCTGGGTTCTGACCTTACTCTGCCAACTGGCAGCTGGCTGTGCCTCCATCTGGGGAGTAGGCATCTTCCTCCCGGGCTGTGGGTTCAGAGCCTGGCGGGGCCCCGTTCAGTATCTCGGAGCATAGAGAGGGCCTTAGAAGTCTCCCTGCCTTGGAAATGCCACATGCTTCTGCCTCACCCCAAGAACTTGGCTGGGGCCAAAAACCACATCAACACCCCCACCTCCCTGGAATTCAGTCTCAGCTCTAGCCTCTGGCTTTGCTTTAAATTTGGAAGCTGAAGTCACAGCAACCCAAGTGCTGTTTCTGCTTGTATGTGGGGCACTGTCTTAGCCGGTATTTGCCAAGCTTCTCCCAGAAGCCGGGCCCTAGGGTGACCGCTGGCCACAGCGGCCATGGCTGGGGCTGGCAGACACAGGACCCCGGGCTTGGAGACGGGTGAGGTGTGATGATGCTTGCAGCCGGTCCTCAGACCCCAGTGGGAGGGCAGAAAAGTGGGTGGGAGGGGCAGGTGAATCTCTGGGTACACCTCCTCTCCCTGCTCCACAGAACTCGGGGGCCACAGAACTCGGGGGCCATAGAAGTAGGAATGCAGTGAAGTGAGTAGAGCCAAGAAAGGACCCAGGTGTCCCCTAGGCCAGCATGCCCAATCCCATGCCATGACTGGGGACAGGGACTTGTATGTTTGGGTGTGGGGTATTGGCCCACCCAGGTGGCCTCCAACTCTTCTCTCTTCCCAGATCCGTTGCATGCTCAATATCTGGGGTGTGATCCTCTACCTGCGGCTCCCCTGGATTACAGCCCAGGCGGGCATTGGTGAGTGCCACCTCTCGGAGGGGAAGGGGAGGCTGTACCCGAGACCTGATCCTCCTGGGCCTCAGTCCTGAACTTGGGCTGCCGAGACCCCAGGCTTCTGTGGTGACAGATGTCAGGGAAGTGTGGCAGAGCAATCTAGACATGGAATCATTAGGCCTGAGGCCTCTCCCTGGCTCTCTTTGTCCTCAGTAGGTCGCTTAACCTCCCTATTGCCCAGCATCCAGGTTAGGAAACTGGGCTCTGGACAGACACCAATATTAGAGGGTAGCTCTGATGCTGTGTGACCCAGGACAAGTTTCTTAGCCTCTCTGAGCCTCGGTTTCCTCATCAGTCAAATGGCACTGATGACTGTCCCTTCCTGACAGACCTATTGTGGGGTTTCTATGATGTCTTTAACAGCACAGGATTTGGCACCCAAAGGTGTTCATCGAGTGGTGATTATTTGTTATTACTGAAGGAGGGTGCCTTCCCTTCCATACCTAATGATCCTTTTTATAGTGGCTCCACAGCTCCCTGGCTGTTCAGAATATACCAGGAGGGACACAGATACCCATTTCTCAGATGAGAAAACTGAGGTTCGGGGAAAGGAGGTGACTTAGGTTTCATGGTGAACCATTCAGCTGACTCAGCTTCCTCACATGGCCCCTCACCTGGGAAGTGCCCTGGTTGAGTTTCTGTGGTGATGACCTCCCACTCATCCCACAGTCCTGACCTGGATCATCATCCTGCTGTCAGTCACTGTGACCTCCATCACCGGCCTCTCCATCTCGGCCATCTCCACCAATGGCAAGGTCAAGTCAGGTGGGCCCTACCCCACCCCCAAGGCCCTCCCCTTCCTTTCCTGTTGCCCAGTCTTACCCTGGGGAATGGGTCTCTGAGCCACTCCCCCACCCCATCTCTACCAAAACGGGGTTGCCCCAGGCCACTCCCTCTGATTCCAGGTGAAGAATTTGGGCCCCCACGGACGACCTCGGTAATCCCCTGTGCCGTGGGCCGTGGGGGTCCCATGGTTACCCTTTCCCAGCCCCAGCTTCTGCCTGTCCCAAGCCCGCCCCAGCCAGCTGTCTCCTGGTTTCATGGCCCCCGCTCTGTCCCCAATAGGTGGCACCTACTTTCTCATCTCCCGGAGCCTTGGCCCAGAGCTAGGGGGCTCCATTGGCCTCATTTTTGCTTTTGCCAATGCCGTGGGTGTGGCCATGCACACCGTGGGCTTCGCAGAGACCGTGCGGGACCTGCTCCAGGTGAAGCCAGAGGGAGCCCGGGCAGCCTAACTCGCTCTCCCCCACCCCGTCTGGGTCGGTTTTATCTGTCAGGGACCACGGCCACGGTCTGATCACTGTGGGTGTCCGTAATGATCTCTTCAAATAAAGGCCATTCCCAGACATCCCCCTCAGGGGTATGTGTTGCCTTTAGGGCTGACCTGTCTAGGCTGATGCAGCCCTGTGGGGCGGGGGCCTGTTGGCAGGGAAGGGGTTTGTGTTTCTGTTTTGCTATGAGGGGTCCCCCCTACTTGAGGTGAATCAAGGTGGAGGAGTCTGGGGGGGAGGTGTTGAGAGGGCAGTGTGCAGCCTGGCCTGTGTCCTCCTGCCCAGGAGTATGGCACGCCCATCGTGGACCCCATCAATGACATCCGCATCATCGGTGTGGTCACCGTCACTGTGCTGCTGGCCATCTCCCTGGCTGGCATGGAGTGGGAGTCCAAGGTGAGGAGGGGAGGTTGGGAGCGGTTCACTGGAGAAGCGGGAGTCGTGGGGCCTGGGTCCCGGGCCTGGTTCTGCCTCTTCTCGGTGTATTAGCTAGGCTTCTGGCTCTGTGGTTGTGACACACGGACCCTAAAGCACAGGGCCTTGAGCGAGAGTCATGTGTTTGTCTCTCCTGTAACGTGCAGGTGTGTGTGGCTTGCAGGGCTCAGGCACCCAGACCATTTCTGTCCTGTGGCCTCTCCGTCCCTGGGAGTGGCTTCCATGCACCTGCTCCACGGCGGCCACAGTCCAGTCAGCAGGGAGGGAATGGGGCCTTTTTCTTTTTCTTTCCGGGCCCTGCCCAGAAGCTGTGCATATCACTCTGTGTACATCCCCTCAGCCAGAACTCGGTCTTGTGGCCACAGCTAAGCTCAGCAGGGCAGGGAGGAGTATCCTCATGTGAACCCGTACCCAACCAAAATTCAGAGGCTTGGCACTGTGGAAGGAGGGCAGAAGGACTATGGGCCATTGGTGGTCAGACTTGGCAGATCTGGCCCCTGACCCCTGCCCCCGCCTCACCTCTCTCCCCCTTCCTCTGGCCTCCAGCTCCACTGGCCTCCATCCTGGCTGAATGTCCCCCGCTTGTGCCCCGATAGTTCTGCATCTCACTCCTCAGCCTCCTTTAGAACCCTTGAAGACACCTTCATAGGCTCTGCTAATGTAGTCCCCCACACAGTCCCCATCACACCCTCGTTCATCCTCTAGAGTCATGTTCCATATTTATCAGCAAAATAAGAGCCTTGCTATACTGCCAACTCCCAGAACAGGTCATGCAGCATGAATGAATGAATGAATGAAAGAAAGAGGGAGGGAGGGACCCTGGGCAGGTTCTGTCCCGCTGGGGCTCCCTGAGTAGGTGGGGCCAGGTCATCTGACTTCTAGGGTCCTTTATTCCAGGCCCAGGTGCTCTTCTTCCTCGTCATCATGGTCTCCTTTGCCAACTACTTGGTGGGGACGCTGATTCCCCCGTCTGAGGACAAGGCTTCCAAAGGCTTCTTCAGCTACCGGGGTATGTGCAGGTTGGGGCCCCTGCCCATGGCTCTGGAGACAGGTACACTCTGCCCACCAATCTTCTCCATTCTGTGGGCACCAGGAGGATGGGACTTCCAATTCCCAGGACCAGAAGCTGCCAAAGAGGGGGAGCGTCCTGCCTGCCTGGCTGGGCCCAGCCTTCTGGGTGGCCCTGATTCAGGCTTTGGTCTTCCAGCGGACATTTTTGTCCAGAACTTGGTGCCCGACTGGCGGGGCGTGGACGGCAGCTTCTTCGGGATGTTCTCCATCTTCTTCCCTTCAGCCACAGGCATCCTGGCAGGAGCCAACATCTCTGGGGACCTCAAGGTGAGCAGAACGCCTGCCCTCCTGCCTCCTGGCCCTGTCATACCAGGATCTCCCCTGGCCACTGAGGTTGGGCACTGAGACGGCGGGGTCCAAACCAACTCCGTTCACCCCACTCAATTCTGAGATTGTTGATTGACACAACTCTGCTCTAGGCCTGGAGGACCACCCTAAAACAGGCGGGTCTCCTCCCTAGTTCCTGGGACTCTCAGCCCAAGGGGGAAGACTGAGCCAGCTTGACCTTCCAAAGCTGGTTCATGCATGTCTTTGCTGGGCTGGCATCCTCTCAGGGCTCTCCGCTGTCTTGGTGCAGGCCACGTCTGCTCGAAGTTCGAGGCTTCGGCCCATAATTGCTGTGTCCCCTGCCCCAGCCCTGAGGATCAGCTGCTTTCCCTGTGTTGCCTGGCCTGCCTCTGTGTCTTGGTCTCTGCTCTCTCCCTGGGATGTCCAACCTTTGTTTCTTTACCTTGAGAAGTTCTGTTCCTCTTTCAGATAACACCTGTACCCTTAAACCTCTCCCAGCCCTCTGTCAGAGTGTGGCTCCCCTAGCCTAATGACGCCAGACCATTTATGTCTCTCTTCCCCCTTCCGGTTCTCTTTATCTGGAGAACTGAGGCCTGCCTCTATGTCCCCATTCCCGGCTAAGTGTCAGACACATGGTAGATGCTCAGTACACGTTTGTTGAGTGAATAGTGGTGAAACGTATTGACTGGGAACTTCAGAGCGGGAATACAAGGTGCTAGAAGGTGGGGAAGAAGGAGAGACGCATGTTGACAGGGGCTCCAGCAAAAGATGGGGCTGGGCCGGGGCTTTGAAAGCTGAGGAGGCTAATGGTATCTTTGCCAGGGCAGGATCAAGGAGACAGATGGGGTGCCAGTGGGGTGAATGGTGAGAACCTGGATCGGTGCTGGGAACCCTTTCCCACAGCCTGCAGTCCCACCTGAAAGGTGCGCTTTGATGCATTTTCTTAAATAAACAAAGAATGGTACCATGGACTGTCTCCACCCTGCCTGGCTGTAACCGGGGGTGCCCAGGTGGTGCACAGCACGGCCAGGAAATTGGAGAGTGACTGTGTTTACCTGGCTCCTCTCCCTTCTCTGGGGAGCAAACAGCAGGGGCCTGGGCTACCTGCCTGCCCGGAGGTCCCTGCAGAGGTCAGTCTTGTGCTCAGACAGTCCAGGTCCCCTGCCAGCGCTCTGAGCGATCATCGTAACCTAGCCATTTACCCAGATGCTTCGTCCAGCCTCTCCAGTTACCAACCCGCACGGTATGCAGGCGTCAGGGCTAGGCAGCTGTCCCGGAGCTGGGGAGTGGGGAGGAGGGGCGCACCTTGGCTCTGTCCTGAGTGCCCTCAAGCCCTCCAGGGACCGTTTCCTCCTGGATCCCGCCCTCAGCCGGGTTCTGTGAGACCGAGCATCCTCAGTACAGGAGCAGCTCTCACTCATGGAGACTTTAGGCAAGTCCCTTTAAACCTCTCTGGGCTTAGCTTTCCCAAATGTAAGAGGGGACTTGGAGCACCCCTCCCGCTTCCCTGAGCAGGGACTAAGGAGTCCACCTGCTGATTTATGTGACGAGCTTCCAACAGTGTCCAGCACAGAGGAAGTACGGAGAAGCGCTGGTTGTCAAGGTCATGGCCATTTTCCCCATGTGGCTGCTTGGGGGAGGGGGGGCTCATTCTTTACAAACATGATCCTTGGTGAGGGGCAGCTGTGAGGGCTCTCACCCGCACGTCAGAGAGGAGCAGACCAAGCTCAGAGAGGGCTGGGCATTGCCCAGGGCCACACACCCACAGGTGGCAGAGGGGCTGGAATAAAGAGGCTTCAACTTCATCATGAACTTACAGTCCATGAATAGTTTTTGGGCACCTGCTTTGTGCTACTGTCTTGTGGATGCAGCAGTAAACAAAACACAAAGACACAAATTCCTGTCCTCACGCAGCTGACATTCTGGTGAGAAAGAGACAACCAGCCCCTCAGTTAGTGACGTTCCCCAACCCCTTAGCACTCGCGGAGCAATCTCGTGACCATCACCCCGTGCTATGGCCAAGGAAAGCTTTACTAGCTTAATTTTCTGCCAGGGAGACTGAGGCTCAGATTCAAGGGACTTCCTAGTGACCGAGGTGGGGTCTGTGTCCCACCTGCTATTGTCCCAGGGCACATCCCAGGGCACAACACAGTCCCCACTCCTACCTGCTCACATTTATGGGTCCTTTCTGTGGGCTGCGTTGATTCTCATCTCACAGATTGGGGTTGGGGGCATCACTGAGGCTCAGAGAGGTTAAGGAGCTTGTCCCAGCTCACACAGCCAGGAGGAGAGGCTGGGATGTGGACCCACATGTGTCTGACTTGTGGCCAGGCTCAGAGATTTGGGGCCGAAATGTAGGAGCCGGATGGAGGTCTAGTGTAGCCATCTCCCGGGACCATTTTAACAAATGACCACAAATGCTGTGGCTTAAAACAACAGACATTTATTCTTGCTCCGTTCTGGAAGCCAAAGTCCAGAATAAAGGTGTCAAGGGCCATGCTCCCTGTAAAGGCTCTCTGGGAGACTCCTCCTCTCCTCTCCCAGCTTCTGGCAGCTCCAACAGTCCTTCCCATTCCTTGCCTTGGATCTGTGTCTCTGTAGTCTCAACCACTGTCTTCCCACGGCCTCCTTCCCTCTGTGTGTCCTGGCCTCTTCTTACAGAACACCTGTTGCTGGATTTAAGGCCCACCTGACCGAGTAGGACCTCAGCTTAACTAATTACATTTTGCAAAGATCCTATTTCCAAATAAGAACATATTCTGAGGTTCTGGGTGAACATGAATTTTGGGGGACACCTCCAACCCCCTAGAGGTGGGATGGGAAGTTGAGCTGGCCAGCTGGCCTAGAGACCAGGGGCTCTGTGTGCTTGACCTGGTCGAGCCATCCTGGTACCCCTAGCAGAGCTGGCAGGACCCCCACAGCTGAGACCGCAGCAGACCTGGAAACTCCAGAGCCCTTGGCCCCCCTCCAGCTCTGCCCCTCTGTTTTCACTTTGCTCTGCCCTACCCGTCCCTCCCTCCCAGCCCCCGGCCCTCAGAGCCAACCCAGTTGTCCCCTCCACAAGGAGGCCTTTTGTGGTTCCTGCCATGTTGCTCTCCACCCCCACCCCTTGGTCTCCAGTACACTTCAGTCTGCCCTGTGACAGGGGCCATCTGCCCCATGTCGGCAGGATCCTGCCCATACTTCCCTCCCTGGGGCCTCCAGAGTGGGGGCCAGCGCTTGGTCATTCACTGTCCGACCATCAGCTCCAACTTGGGCTCCCAAGTGTCTGAGGCAGAGACCTGGGTTGTTGCCAGCCTTGTTTGGACCCACCTGTAACACTGAACAACGTCACGGTCCCTCCAAGCTCTGTCACTTGTGGTTCTACCAGCCAGCTGTGCAGAATGGCCCAGGAAAAGCTGGGGAGGTGCACAAGTTTGCTTCCCAGTGCCCATGTGGCCTGCCTTGGGGGTTGGGGTATATGCCTGGGGGAGAACCTGCTGGAAAAATCCCGGCCTGTGTTATTCCACCCGGGACCAGCCCCCAGGGGCCTGAGGCTGTCGACCTCGGTGTGGTGGGAGCAAGCCACCCCTGGCTCAGCCAGCTGGGGCCTCCGCACAGCTTCCTGGCCTCAGTTTCCCCACCAGTGGGGTGGGGATACTCTGGCCACTTTAGAAGAAGTTATGCATGAGGAAGGGTCTGGACGAGTGGAATACGTGATGTGTGCGTGTGAAGATTCGCTGTTTCTGCTAGGAAAATGCCAGAGGAGAGCCCTCCCTCGGTGGGGAGGGAGTTTGGGGCTTGTGTGTGGATTAACTGCTGTGGGAACTCACAGACCAGTTGGCGCATGATAGTGACGAACCCGCAGCCCCGGACCCTGGTCTGGGAGCTGGATGTGGATTAAGTCACTTAGCCAGCATCCCTGTGAGGCTGGAGGGGCTGAGACATAAAAGAGCATGTCCACCACCCAGCCGGTCACCTGGAAGCTGGCTCCAGATCCCCCCACCCCCCACTTCAGCACCCCCAGAGCCCGTGTTGGCCGGTGTTCTGGAAAAGAAGACATGGAGCTGGTTAGAGCTTCTCTCCATGCCTCTGGCTCCCAGGGCCTGGGTGTGCTCTCAGCCCCATGATCTTGCTTGGGTCCCATCCTGCCCTGCGGGTGGCAATAGCAAGGGTCCTTCTTCCTGGGGCCCTGGGAAAGGGGGCTCTGAGAGGGGGCCGGGTCAGGGGTCACTGGCCCTCCCCCGGCCTCAGACAAGGGCAGGGCCTGGCAGGAGGCCCAGTGGCTGCCTGATGCCTTCCCTCCCTCCCTGCTCCTCCTCCCCCAGGACCCTGCTGTAGCCATCCCCAAGGGAACGCTCATGGCCATTTTCTGGACCACTGTCTCCTACCTGGCCATCTCGGCCACCATCGGTGAGTAGCTGTCTGGGACTGCTAGAAGGATTTCAGGGTGCTTGGCTGTCCAGCAGGGAGAGCTAGGCCAGGAGGACTTGGCCGCCTCAGGGAGTGGAACCTCAAACCTTATTTGGGGGGGCTAGTGGTGGTGACCAGAACATCTTCAAGGGAGGTGGTAGTTTGTGGTGAGGGTTGGGTCAGACCAGGCTCTTCTGGTCCCTTCACACCTGAACTTACAGATGCAAGGGTGGGAAAATGCTCTAGGGCAAATTATACTCTGACCCAATGACTAATAATAATAATGATGATGATGGTAGTGGTGGTTGAAGATGATACCAGTCACTGACTCAGCCATAAGCCCAGTCCTTTACATGCCCATCACGTTTAATCCGGGCACTGCTGTGCCCACCATTTCACAGAGGAGAAAACCAGGGCTCAGAGGTGTTCAGTGCACCTGCCCAAGCTCACATGGCCACCAAATGGTGGAGGCAAGCTTTGAACCCAGGCCTGGGCCATTGACACTTGCCTCTCGCTGAGGTCCTCACGGTGCTCCCATTAACCACCTTGTGAAGTAGGCTGTTCACAGATGGCCAAGGGACATGGCCCAGGGTGCAGCCAGTCTGGCCTTTTTTTTTTTTTTTAAGATTTTATTTATTTGACAGACAGAGATCACAAGTAGGCAGAGAGGCAGGCAGAGAGAGAGAGGAGGAAGCAGGCTCCCCACTGAGCAAGGAGCCGGATGTGGGACTCGATCCCAGGACCCTGGGATCATGACCTGAGCCGAAGGCAGAGGCTTTAACCCACTGAGCCACCCAGGTGCCCCTGGCCTCTATTTTAAGGAGGACATGGGGACCTTAACAGGTCACTTCATGTTGCTGGGCCTCTGTAGAAGGACAATGACAACAAAGGCAATGGTGATGCTTTCTTCCCAGGGTTGTTTACAGTCCTTTGCTCCCGCTCCCGCATTTAGCTATTTGTAATTGCCATTACTGTTATTATTATTATTTATGATTACATGCTGAAGGGGGTCTGGCCCCTCTGTAGAAGCAGCCGGTGTCTGGGGGCGGGAGGAGAGGAGAGAGGAGGGAAGGGAAGAAGGGGGACTTCCCCAGGCCCTGCTCCCTCTTCAGGCTCCTGTGTAGTTCGTGATGCCTCCGGGGTCCTGAATGACACGGTGACCCCCGGCTCGGGCGCCTGTGAGGGGCTGGCCTGCGGCTACGGCTGGAACTTCACCGAGTGCGCCCACCAGCACAACTGCCACTATGGCCTCATCAACTACTACCAGGTACACGTGGCCTCTGCCGGGCAGTCTGCCCCAGACCGAGGCTGGAACAGGCTGGGACAGACGTGGTTTAGAGGGCTGGGCCGCAGGCTTGGAGGAAAGAGGTTCAGGCTCAGGTTGGGGGCCCCGGGGCCCAGCCCCTGCCTCAGTGGGCCCTGGGATCCCCAGGTAAGGGGTGTGGACTCTGAGGCCTCAGAACCTAGCCCATGCCTGCAGTGAGGCCTGGGGTGCCCTGCGTAGGGGCTCCAGACATGAGGGGCCTGGACCCTGTGTCCCTGCAGACCATGAGCATGGTGTCCGGCTTTGCGCCCTTGATCACGGCTGGCATTTTGGGGGCCACCCTCTCCTCTGCCCTGGCCTGCCTCGTCTCTGCTGCCAAAGTCTTCCAGGTGAGGCTGCAGAATGGGTCTGGCGGGAGGTTCTGGGAGGCCCAGGGACGCAGGTCCCTGGGCGACTGCTGCAAAGGTCTCAGGGTGTCATGGGACAGAGACAGTCTAGACTGAAGGCAAAAGGGGGCTCGTGACCAACTCATGCAGGAAGCAGCCCCTTCCCATGGTGTGCTTTGAACTACACTGGCATCTCCCACCCCAGAGTCTCCCTGGTGCAGCCTGGCACCCTGTCAGCACTTCTGCCCGCCCTGTTGCACGCTGACGCCGTCCACCCCCTCCCACCTTGCCCTTTTGCTCCCTCCCTGGTGAGGTGGGGGTGGGCAAGGAGATGAGTCCCATCCAAGAGACTGCAACCAGGATCCAGATTAGGGGAAGCTCCCGGTTGAGGTGGAGAGAGTAAGCAGAGCCTGGGGGCGGGGTGGGGGGGGTTGCGGGGAGGGGAGGGGGGCCCAGCCCGGGATGATGCGCACGCCTTCCTGTGCCCACAGTGCCTGTGTGAGGACCAGCTGTACCCGCTGATCGGCTTCTTCGGGAAGGGCTACGGAAAGAACAAAGAGCCGGTGCGAGGCTACGTGCTGGCCTACGCCATCGCTGTGGCCTTCATCATCATCGGTGAGAGGCTGTGAAGACCTCCAAGCTGTGCCCAGCAGCTTGTGGGGGCTCCTCTCTGCACTGCTCACCTTGGCGCCCAGTGCCCGGCCAGGCCTGGCAGGGAGTGGACACTCGGTGACTAGCCCTTGAGTGAGTGAGGCTGGTCATGGGGCCCCCGCCCCTCCCCCGCCTCCGGATAGGTGGCTCCCACGCCATGCCAGCCTGGTGGGGCACACCATTCTATGTTAGAAGGGACCCTGCCTTCTCTTGCTGATTCTGTATTCCTATGTCCTGGCAAGTTGCCCCCCATCCCACCCCCACCCACACCCCCAGTCCCCGGGTCTGAATTAGTCCCCAGGACAACTCTGGAGCACAGAACAGCTCTTGGGAGCAGATACAGACAGCTGGATCAGTAGCTCTGTCGCTGTGTATGAACTCCACAACCTCATTTCCCAGACCTTGAGCTGCCAGACCCCCTTGGACTTCATGGTAGAGGATGCCCCAGGGGAGAGATCCCAGGGAACCAGTTAGTTTGATTGGTTTTCTATCCTGGCATTGCCAGCTGTGTTACCTTGGACAGATCATTTTGCCTTTGTTTCTTCGTCTGCAGAATGGGAGCAATAGTGCATAGCAGGGGCGTCACAGGTGGGCACAAAGAGACTTGTGCACACACACACACACACACACACACACACACACACATACACATGCACGTGCATTGTATTCATAGATGCACACACACCCCAGTGCCTCCTGGTTTATTTAGCCAACAAGGCAAAACTTGCTAGGAGAAAGGTGGCCACACCAAGCCAGGGCAGTGGCTGTGCTATGGCTCCTGTGCAGGAGCGAGGTGGGGGCTGGCTGCTGGTGGTCCCGTGGCCCTGCCGTAGCTGAATCCTTGTGGTTCATGCCAGCATCAGCAATCATGAGGCTTCTCTTTCCAGTCGACTCTCCGCCACTCAAGGGAGCCTTTCTGGACACTGGGTACTCCTGGATCCTGAACCAGATGAAGAGACAACAGGGTCACCCCCAGGGGATGGAAACCTCTAGTCAGGCTTCCTGCTCTTCCTGCTGTCTTCCCTAACTCCGATTTCATGTCCTTTGATCTGAATGGGTCTGACTACAGTTCAGACTGAGAACCACCATCTTAGACACTCTGGGGCAGGGTTCTTGTGACAATTCAAGGGACTCATGCTCAGAAGTCCTGGGACAGAAGAGGGGTCTGTCTTGTTTGGGGGATTTCCCCAGAAGCAGGCCCCTGGAGCAAGGAAACATGCCAAAGTTTGTCTGGGGGTGTCAGGGGCAGTGGCGGCCGAGTAAGACAGGGAAGGGATGGACCCGGATCTTGAGTGGGTTTTCACTGTGGGTGGAACTGTGTGTGTCCTACGGTCCCAGAGTTTCAGATAAAAGAAGACATGGGTCTTGGGTCACATTGTAAAATATATATCTTACTGTAATTTGTGGTTGCAAGAAAAGTATGACAACTACTGTCCTTGGTTCTCTCATAGTATCTCCCATTTCTCTCTATCTTGTTAAGAGATGGCCTTTGACAGTAAACAAAACATCGGCCCTTTGTTTCACAAAATGATGGGCCCATTTCACAGATGGGAATGTTGAGACGCACTGAGCCTCTGGGAGCCTGTCTGGAATCCCCCAACTGCGAGGGAGGGCGCCAGGTGGCTCCCTGGCAGGTTGCCCAACCGACTGTCCTCTCTCCCCCGCCGGGTCACTGCAGCTGAGCTCAACACCATTGCCCCCATCATCTCCAATTTCTTCCTGTGCTCGTACGCCCTCATCAACTTCAGCTGTTTCCACGCGTCCATCACTAACTCGCCTGGTGAGCAGCCCCCTCACCCCTCTCTGGGAGGAGGCACGCGGGGCAGGGGTAGGGGTCCGGGAGGGGCGGGCACACCAAGGTCACCTCTCAAATCGAAACCAGTTCAAGGGACCACTCAAGTCATAATAATAATAGCAGCTCTCATCTCTCAAGACCGTGCGCTGTACGACGAACACGGATTCGTACACGGTTTACAGGATGCAGAGATTTCTCTAGTGCCCTCCTCCACCAAATTTACAGGAGTCAAGAATGTGACTCCCCAGAAAAGGAAGAGAATTGCCAAAAGTCCCAGGTTGTTGAAGGTTGCCCTTTGCACAATTCCAGGGGTGTTGCTCATATACATCATTGACTTGTATGTTTATTCTGAAAAATTTCTGGCAGGTGGCAGTAAAGTATCCCGCGAAAGGCTTTTTCTGATTATCCCCAAATTGTCAAAGGGCTGGCTGCCAGGCCACCTTTTCCTCAGCCCGGGAACCGTGGTGCCCCACAGTTGTGCCACGGGGCAGCTGTCGCTGGCAGCGGCCCTGGTATGGCCCACTGGCGTGGAGCCAGGCAGGATCACACCCTTCCCTGCCCTCTTTCCCCCATGGCTCCGTGCTGACATGGCCATATTTGGATGCCTCCTCCTTGGTGTAGCCTATCCATTTGGCCAAAGGACAGCCAAGGTGGGCGTGCGGTCCTCCCCAGAGCCTCCAGTCCAGCCTCTGGAGACCCAGCGGGGGGGCTGGGTGGGCACAGGCTGGGACTTTGGCTCTGGGCACGGCTGGCAGGGCCAGGTGGTGCTGGCCCAGGAGGAAGCTCCCGAGCATGCCCACCAACCTGCGTTCTCTGACCAGGGTGGCGACCCTCGTTCCGATACTACAGCAAGTGGGTGGCGCTCTTTGGGGCAGTCATCTCCGTGGTCATCATGTTCCTTCTCACCTGGTGGGCCGCTCTCATTGCCATCTGCGTCGTCCTCTTCCTCCTGCTCTACGTGATCTACAAGAAGCCAGGTGTGCAGTCTCATGTTGCCCAGGGCTTCTGGCTCCCCTTCTCCCCGCTGAGGGCACCCAGCCAGCCATCCTGCCGTTCAGCTCAGCTAGAAGGCCTGCATCAGGCTCTGTGCTTTCAAGGGTCCTGTTCTGAGCCTCCAGCCTCATCCTTTCCTGTGGGGTGAGGAGACTGTGGGAACGTGCCTGTTCAGAGCCCACACCTCTACTTCTGGACCATACCCTTCTCAACCATGGCACCCAGGACCCTGGAATTGCTTGCCCAGGGCCATCCTCTTGAAGTGGCTGGGGGCACATCTAGGCCTGGGGGTGGCCAGGAGCTGGCTCACCGAAGGGCAGGTGGACACAGCGTGGTGTCTATATGCACACAAGCAAGGATTCCCAGGTGACGGTGATCTGGAGACAGGATGTAGAACCCCAGGAAAGCTTAGAATTCTAAATTTGAACTTAGCCTTCCAGGTTATTGTCTGTTTGTCAAGGGAGGTGAATATTTTGCACAGTTTGATCTTTGTATTTTTTTTTAAAGGTTTTATTTGTCAGAGAGAGAGCATAAGCAGGGGGAATGGCAGGCAAAGGGAGAAGCAGACCTCCCACTGAGCAGGGAGCCCCATGCAGGACTCCATCCCAGGACCCTGGGTTCATGACCTGAGCAAAGGCAGATGCTTCAGCGACTGAGCCACCCAGGCGTCCCCAGAGTTAAATGCTTTGTAGTGAAACTTATAAATATGTAGCCATATGTTATGTGCAAACATTAGGAAGAGATCTGCAGGCTGTCCACCCACCAGACAGCCCAGCTCCCACGGTGCCTGATTCCTAAAGAAGGTCAACGTTCCCTCCCTCAGTACAGCTGGTTTCTTCCGGGGATTTCTAAAATTTTGAGTTTGATTTTTTAAAAAAGATTTTATTTATTTATTTGAGAGAGAGAGAGAGTATGAGAGGGGAGAGGGTCAGAGGGAGAAGCAGACTCCCCACTGAGCAGAGAGCCCGAGGTGGGACTCGATTCTGGGACTCCAGGAGCATGACCTGAGCTGAAGGCAGTTGCTTAACCAGCTGAGCCACCCAGGCGCCCCTCTCCTGGGGATTTCTAATCTTGTGCTCACCCACCCCCCCTCCATGCTCAGAGGTGAACTGGGGCTCCTCGGTGCAGGCCGGCTCCTACAACCTGGCCCTGAGCTACTCGGTGGGCCTCAACGAGGTGGAGGACCACATCAAGAACTACCGGTGAGCGCAGCCATGTTCAGGCCATCTGTCACCTGCCCCAGGCAGACCCGGGGTGGGGACCGCCCAGGCTCAGAGAGGAGCACTGCCCCCGGCGAGGGGCCTGGGATGCCATTGCTTGGTGGGGACCAAGCTCGTCTAGTGACCTCTCTGTACCTGAGTTTTCACAGCAGAGTATGTTCTTCGAGACGCAAAGGGCTATCCAAGGATGATCTGGTGTTATAGTCCCCATCACAGTCATCTGTGAGGCTGACCATGACGAAACTCTCCTAAGCGAGAAGAGTTGTGTGTCCGGGACTCCTTCCCACCAGGTGGTAACACAGTCAGCCATATGTATTTGTGTTGTATTGCTGCTCAAAGTGCCTTAAGCCCCCTTACCACAGCCCTCTGGGGCCTATGACATTACTAATCCCAGTGGCTGACAAGAACACGGATGCACAGAGAGGTTAAGTAACTGGCCCGAAGTCACACAGCTGGTGAGTGACCAATTTTGTTTGGCTCCAACTGAGTCTGGCAGTGGCCCTGGACCATGAGCCTTGGCTGCCTCTTCATCCAGAGGCTGAGTCCCCCACCCACTCACGTGGCACAGGGATCTTGTAAGTGATGTACCCTCCCACCCCCAGCCTTTATTCTCCCCGCCACCTGCGATTTGCGCCCAGATCCCCGTGGGCTCTGTGCAGATGGCTCATGCCCTTTTCCCTTCCCCTTCTCAGTCCCCAGTGCCTAGTGCTCACGGGACCCCCCAACTTCCGCCCGGCCCTGGTCGACTTTGTGGGCACCTTCACCCGGAACCTCAGCCTGATGGTCTGTGGCCACGTGCTCATTGTGAGTGGCCCCTATAGGTGGGGAGGGGCCCACTTAGAAGAGCCCCTGGGCATGAAGTCCACACTTGGACAGGGGGTGGGGGAGGCTGTGACTGTGAGGAGGATTGGGGGGCAGAGGAACTATGGAGCAAGCAGAACCCGCCAGACCCTGCTGTGGGCCTGGTTCTCTCCTCTCCCCTGTCCCCATCACTGGCTTCTCCCCACTGCCCTGCCTCTTGCCTGCTCCCTCCATCTTCCTTCCCTCACCATCTTCCTCCCTCCTCCTCCTCTTTCCTTCCCCTAACTCCATAGGGGAAAGTGGGTACCTCTGGGTGTGGCTGAGCCCCTGGGGCAGCCTCCAGGGAGGAGAGGGGCTGCATCTCATTAGGGCCAGAGGGAGAGGGCAGCTCCCGATGTCCCCTGCCCCTACCACCCACAGGGACCCCGCAAACAGAGGATGCCTGAGCTCCGGTTCATTGCCAATGGACACACCAAGTGGCTGAACAAGAGGAGGATCAAGGCCTTCTACTCAGATGTCATCGCCGAGGACCTCCGGAGTGGTGTTCAGATTCTCATGCAGGTGCCACAGGTTCAGGGCTTCCCCAGGACTCAGTACTTGGTGTGACAACCTAGAAGGCAGGACATCCCGAGGGGCTAGTTGAAGCTCCCTTTGCTGCAACAGGAGTGCCTGCCTTTCTTGTCTCCCCAGATATGCTGACTCAGGGCGCTTTCTCACGGTGCCCAAGGGCCTATGAGAAACTGAGCTGGAAGGCTGTGGGGCCTGTGTGGTCTTGAGCAATTCTTGTTTTCCTTTTTTCTTTCTTTCTTTTTTTAAAAATTTAATTTACAGACAACAAAGTGAAAAATATTAAGTGTATAGTCTGATAAGTATTTATGTATGCAGATATACCTAGTGGTGTGAAGCCACCACTCAGATCAAGTTCTAGAACATTCCACCGGGCAATTCATTTCCCTGCTCAGTTTTCTCAGCTGTAGAATGGGATGCATAGATAAAATCACCGTTGTTAATCCTGAGCCAGCATAAGAGTCCTTTCTAATAATTCTAAATATTTCTCATTAAAAAAAAAAAGAACATACAGGGTTGTCTTTGGGGGGGTATGAAAATATTCTGAGAGTAGACAGAAGTGATGGTTGTACAACATTGTGACTAAACTGAATTCTACTGAAGGGCATACCCTTTAAAATGGTTAATTTTGTGTTATATGAATTTCACTTCAAAAAAGTTTTTAATATTTTTAAACATTAAAAAAAGTATAAAAGATGTAGAGGTGAGATGACTTGGGGATACTCTAAGGCTGGCATCCAAATTCAAGTCCCTTGGGATGAGAAATAATTTGCTAGAGAAGCAGAACTGGGGTAATCCAGAGCTAAAGGGACAGTATGGTCATTGTAGCTTCACCTCTCTCCTGGGTGTGTCTAGGCAGGCAGGACCCTGACTGGCGGCATGTGATTCCTGAGCGCTCGCCACATGGTGAGGAGGGCAGCTGCGGCTGAGAGGGCCCCACCGTGGTCACAGAACAGAGCCGCTGTGGGGCACGAGGCCCGGCCTCTCACCTCCCCCTGACACTCTTTGCAGGCCGCAGGTCTTGGGAGAATGAAGCCCAACATTCTGGTGGTTGGGTTCAAGAAGAACTGGCAGTCAGCTCACCCGGCCACGGTGGAAGACTACATCGGCATCCTGCAGTGAGTGAGGGCGTGAGGGAGGCAGGGCCTGGGGTCAGCTGATTTGGGCCTTTGATGTTTCTGGGCCTTGGGAAGCAGGGGGGATGCAGTGGAAGTTATAAGAAGCTGGTTCTAAGCTGAGGAGGAAACAGACCCACTGAGGGCTCACCACTCTGACCTCTAGGCCCTGGGCACCAAGCCGGGCAGGGAACATACAGGGATCACAGAGAAGGAGAATAGGTAAGAGACAGTAGGGAGCAGTGGGGACTGTGGCAAACTGCCGTGAGTAGCAACTATTGGGCTCCAGCCAGTTGTGCCGAGGCAGAAATGTGGACCCAGTGTTGCCAAAGCTTCTGGTTTCTTAGAGGAGACAAAAAGATGGGTTTTTAGGTGAGAACCTTGGACTATAGAAGACCTGCCAAGAGCCGGCCCTTGGGCTGTGAGGTGGTGACACCAAGCAAGAGGCAAAACCAGACCTCCCAGGAGGAAGTGGTGTGGGGAACGGGACCATGAGGAGAAAGTCCCTGGGGACTCTGGGCTGAACTCCAAACCTTTTCTCCTTTGGCTCCTCTTGGGCAACCTCCAGAAAATGTCTGCCTGAGTTGCTTTTCTGTGTTGACGTGGTATAGAGAAGCCGTGTGTAGTAGCGTTTAAAGAACAAAGGCTGGGGGGTCTGGGTGGCTTGGTCAGTTGAGCATCTGACTCTTGATTTCGGCTCAGGTCGTGATCTCGGGGTCATGGGATTGAGTCCCACATTAGGCTCCCTGCTCTGTGGGGAGTCTGCTTGAGATTCTCTCTCTCTCTCCCTCTGCCCCAGCTGCCCTGTTCATGCGTGCTTTCTCTCTGAATCTAAATAAATAATAAAAATAGAAATCTTTCAAAAGTCAATGAAAAGAAAGAAGGAAAGAGGAGAGGAGAGGAAAGAAAAGGAAAGGATGGAAAGGAAAGGAAGCTGAGTTTTGGGGACCTGGGACCTGCTTCCAGGTCCGCTGTGACGCAGCCACCTGTGAGCTGGGCGTCTCAGCTGCCTCGTGGTAGAATATCCGTCCTCTAGCATCCCCCCAACTCCAGGGCTCCAAAACCCCAAAATGCTAGGGCCTGAGAAGCTCCTGCCCCAAAAACTCCCAGAGGGCAATGCCTGACCCATCAGATCAAGCCCTACTGGTGGCTTCCGGGGCCCTCTGTCAGCTGGGCAGTGAATGGACTTCTGGGTGTTCCTTCCGACAAGCTGTTGCTGCCCTCCTAAGCAAGGCCATTCCTACGTACACCGGCCCTCGGGGTTCTGTCTCAGCAATTCGAATCTAAAGCCAGCTGTCCACTTTCTTAGCGTGGCTCATGGGCTAGTTATTCCCTGAAACTCGAGTTGTGCTCCTATAAGATAAGGTTAAGAATTCCCATGCCCACCTTTGCTGGCAGGCTTGTGTAGATTTTCCAAATATATCAGGAGGACAGGCCCACCTTGCAGACTGGCCTGACTTGGTTTCCCTCTGAGTATAAGATTCGCAGCACCCCCTGGTGCCACAGACCATAGAGCTAGAGGGGCCCTGGTTGGGGGCTCTCTCTCCGGTTCTGCCAACATATTACACAGGTGGGGAGACTGAGGCCCTGAGAGGAAGAAGTGATATGGTGGGAGGCAGGGCCAACTGTAGACATCTGGTCTCCTGGGGGCTGGGGGCTAGGGGCTGGTGGCTGGGACCGAGGGGAGCCTGACCCCACCTCTTCTCTTTCCAGTGATGCTTTTGACTTCAACTATGGTGTGTGTGTCATGAGGATGCGTGAGGGGCTCAACGTCTCAGAGGTGATGCAGGCACACAGTGAGTACACGCCCCACCTGCTTGATGCCCCTCACAAAAACCAGAATGGAATTCTAGAAAGTTCTAGAACCCAATTTTTTTAAAAAAGATTTTATTTATTTGAGAGAGCAAGCAAGAGAGAGCATGAGCAGGGGGAGGGGCAGAGGGAGAGGGAGATACCCCGCTGAGCAGGGATCCCGATGTGGGGCTTGATTCCAGGACCCTGGGATCATGACCTGAGCCGAAGTCTGTTTAACTGACTGAGCCACTCAGGCACCCCTAGAACCCAATTTTTTAAGGGGTAGAGAGAAGAAAGGGGGACATTAGTAAAGAATAAAAGCTTAAAAAGTTAGCTTCAGATGGCCTTTTAGAGCTCCTCAGGTTTCCAAATGAAGACACTGACCAAGTTCAAGGTCACACTTCCAACGGGGGGCAGAACCAAGACTGCACCTCAGAGCTCCCCAACCATTATCAAGGTCTCTGTAATCAGGTGGGAAAAAAGAGGATCTAATAGAGAGGAAGAAGGAAAAGACGGAAGAAAGGAGAGAGCTCACATAAAGACAGTGGAACATGGGGCGCCTGGGTGGCTCAGTGGGTTAAAGCCTCTGCCTTCGGCTCAGGTCATGATCTCAGGGTCCAGGGATCGAGCCCCACATCAGCCTCTCTGCTCAGTGGGGAGCCTGCTTCTTCCTCTCTCTGCCTGCCTCTCTGCTTAGTTGTGATCTCTGTCTGTGAAATAAATAAATAAAATCTTAAAGAAAAAAAAAAAAGACAGCGGAACATGAAAATACAGAGAAAGACCACAGAGCCCAGATGATTGGGCTGTGTTTACTTCTAGTCACACAGGGGTCTGCAGACTCTGCATTGGTCACATGTGGGGGGCTGAAAGAAATCATAGCATGGGAAACAAAAGGGGGCGGTTCCGGGGGTCGGGGGACTGAGAGGTGTGGAGGCCAGGAGGAAGCCGGGGTTTCTGGAGAAGCAAGGGCTGGGTCCAGGGGGTGGCAGAGGCCAGATCAGGGGAAGGTGAGGGGTCGGGACTTTCTTTCTCCTGAAAGGGTTAACCTGGGAGAGGAGGAAGCCAGAAGTGCTCCGTGATGAGGAGAGCCTGGGAACGAAGCTGCCCCCTCTCTTGCAGTTAACCCGGTGTTTGACCCCGTGTTTGACCCTGCGGAGGACAGCAAAGAAGCCAGCACCAGCGGGGCCAGGCCATCTGTCTCAGGCATGTGTCAGTCCGCACGCCACCCAGAGGCTCAGGATGCTCTCACGTCATGGAGCAGCCAGTGGTGGGCCGTGAGGGAGCCTGGTCATGGGCAGGAGATGCCCAAGACCCTTGGGTTGGGTAACCAGGGACCGGAGCAGGTGGGCTTGGGCAATATTCCACCTTGCAGCACTCCTTGGGAATTCAGTGTCCGGGCATTGTGGGAACCCACCCAGCTGGCTCCGAGGCCCCTGTGAGACCCCTCCAAGAGGACCCCTGGCCTCGCTCAGAGGTGACAGGCAGGGAGGAGAGGAGCGGGCTTCTCCCTCAGTCCTTTCCCACTGATGCTCTGGGAGACAGGCCAGTAAGGGAGGGGTACATCCCAGGACTGCATGCCCGGGACCCCCGCTTCTGGTCCAGCTGGCTGAGAAACGGGTTTCAGGGTCTCACTGTCCAAGAGTCAGTGGTGGTGCTTGGGCCAGTCCCCACCTTGCACGCCCTCAGCAGGGTGCTTCTTGCTGCTGTGTGCATAGCCGGCGTGGGGGACAGCGAGCCCACCTCACGCAGCAGCTGGCTCCGTGTTCAGACAGAGTCAGGCGTGTGAAGGTGAGCTGCTCTCAGGTGACTCCCCACCTTGCTCCTGCAGTGGACCCGGAGGCCCTGGGGCGGGAGGAGCAGGCCAGCACCATCTTCCAGTCTGAGCAGGGCAAGAAGAGCATCGACATCTACTGGCTATTCGATGACGGAGGTCAGTGTCCGCCTGCTCAGCAGCTCTCCTGGGGGCCGCCTTCCCTCCATGACCAGTACTTCCTGGCTGCTCCGCACAAGGCCCCTGGAGGGACCCCAGAGCCCAGCAAGGGGGACTAGTGACCCCTGGGCTGGAGGAAGCCTGGCTGGGCCCCTCTTCTTGATGTAAACTAGGACTTTGTCGGAGATGCTGAGGTCAGCATGGGATGGAACCTTAGGGGTTCAGACGAGATGGACCTCAGGGGTCATAGGCTCCTTCCAAAAATGGGGGGATGCTATAGGAATGGTCTTCACTTCCCAGAAATATGCCCTCTCCCATTTTTCTTAAAACACATGCCTCTTGGCTTTATTGCTCTGCCCCTGATAGAGCCCTGCCCAGACAGAAAACGCTTTGGGTCCAGGAGCACATGTCCGATGGATGGTAGCTTCTGTAGACCGAACACTTGCTACACACTTGACACTAAGTGCGATCCCTAGGCAGGAACTGTGATGAGACCCATTTACAAAGAAGGAAACTGAAGCATAGAGCCGTGAAATAATGGGTCAGTTGGTGCGGGTTATGCAGGGATAAGGGACAGCTGGTCCTTGGCCTCCTGTGGAGAGATGACAAGCAGGGGTGAGGGTTTCCACCCACTGGTGAAATCTTTAACCTTTAAAAAAATATGCCAGCAATCCAGATTTTCACGTGAAAAATCCCCCAATTATTAAACGCCAGCTCATGGATTTCAAAACATCACGCAGGCCACATGAACCCCGGCCCAGAGACCCTCATGAGCTTGGTTTAGTCTAGCGCCCTCCTTACACAGATGGGTAAACTGAGGTCCATAGAGACGAAAAGGGGTGCCAGCGGCAGAGCGGGGCAGGAACCCAGAGGGTGCTCTATCCTGAGAGCAGTTCCCCCTTGATGCCAGGCCTCACCCTCCTCATCCCCTATCTTCTCGGCCGCAAGAAGAGATGGAGCAAATGCAGGATCCGTGTGTTCGTGGGGGGCCAGATCAACAGGATGGACCAAGAGAGGAAGGCGTAAGTGGGGAGCGCTGGGGGGAGGGGCTGCACAGGACCAGCACCATCCCAGCTCTGCCCAAGAGTAACCCCTCTTGCTCTCCCTGACCTGTGCCACTACCCCCTCCAGGGGGACCCAGCCGTCTCCAGGTCGCAGCAGAGCTGAGGGAGCTCCGGGCAGGCGCAGGTTTCTGTCCATTTTGGATGTTATTTTGCTGTCCCAGTCCCCCCCTTTAATAAGATGCAGACACCCTAGCTCCATGACGGGAAGGATCGTTACATCGTAAAACCACAATCTGCTCAAGGAGAAATCTGTGTGAAATGAAGGAGGGAGAAGGCCCTTCCTGCTGAGAAATGATGGGGGGCACTGAGGCTCCTTCAGGGCAACGTCCCCACCCCAAGCTCAGGATGCTGTCCCTGGTGAGACAGGAGTTATTTAGTGGCCAGAAGCTGGGACAACAAATGCCACTGGATTTCTTAGAGAGAAGTGACTTTTGATTCTGTCCCAACGGTGTGGCTCCTTCTGCAGGAGAAGGGCTTTCTGCTGGGGAACACAGGCTCATCTGTCTCAGCGAGAGAGGACGGGTCTGGCTGGGGGCCGGGGCAGGCAACGGCAGAATTGAGCTCAACCAGCCAGAATTTGGTCACGTTGGGTTATTTACTTGGGTTTTCTTAATCACCTCTTTCTGGCAAGAGATGTTGGTTTTCTTTTGAAAATTGCCATAAGAAATTTCCAGGTGCAGGTAAGTAAGAATGTGAGTTGATTTAAGCTGAAAAGGAAGTAAATGGAAAGGTAGGTAGACAGGTCGGCCTTGTTTAGAAAAAGGTCAAGTGAGGTGGAAGGTTGTGAGATGGGAGACGCTGGAGGGGGCAGCTGGGTAGGAACAATGGGTGGCTTGCTCAAGGTCACGGCATGCATTAGCCAAAGGGAAAAAAACTCTGCCCGCCTCTGGTGTGTTCTGCCACTGTCCCAGCCCTGATGTCCCTGGGCCTGTGCCACCAAGACCGCATGCCCATGACCCCTTCTCCGTCACTCCCTGTGTGAGTTAAGGGCAACCAGCAATCTCCTTTCCTGATCCTCACCCCTGCTGAGAACCTCTGTGATCTCCAGGAGATAAAGAAGAGTCCGGAAGGCTTCTTCGTAGGCTCAGCTCTCTGTTGTAGCCCCGAATGCAAGCCTGAGCTAGTGGAGCTCAAGGCTGTGGCACCGGGGGGTCACGGGTGACCTGCACATGAAGGGTGTGGGATGTCCTCTGCCTCCCAACTGTCCAGCCAGGCCAAGCCCTCTGGCCTCCTTGTGACCCCAAGGCCAGGCTGGTGTTGCCTCCGCCTGGGTTGCTGCCCAAGCTTGCCACCCCCATGCTGCACACCAGCACATCTGCTCACAACTCTGCTTCCCTAATCTCCCTCCCAAGTTCGGGGACCAGCAGTGGCTTAACGACTGGACCTTAAGGTTTATCCCCTGTCCCTGCCCCCCACCCAGCCAGCCACTCGCTGCTCCTGCCCCACCTCCTACACCCCCATGCCCTCACTTATTTATTTGGACTCCCCACCCCCATGCACTCAAACCCTGCCAACTTGTTCTGGGGTATCCCCAAAGCCACATCCCGCTCCAGATTCTGATGCACTGGGTAGCCTAGAGCCAAGGCAGGTGTATTCTTCCGAAGGCTCCTTGGCTGATTGCACTGTGGACACCCCTACCATGCCCCCTTTGGCCTATAATGATCTTGTGCACCATGCACCATCCAGCTAGATTGCCACCTCCTCCGTGAAGCCTTCCCTGACTGCCACCAACCACAGACCCACAAACGGCATCTCCTCCCCTGTTACATGCAGAGTCAGTGCCACATGCACAGGCTCACTCCTCCTGGTTCTATACTTCGTTCATGGGTGTCATCTCTGATTCCACAGACCACCCTGGAATTTCCTTCTTATCCCTTAGACCCTCGGTCCTCGAAGTGTTCTCCGTGGATCGGTTTCCCTATCACCTGGGAGCTTGCCAGAATGCAGAATCCCAGACCCTACCCCAGACCAGATGAATCAGACTCTGTATTGGACCAAGGTCCCCAGCAGATGTACAGACATTAGAATGTAGGCTGTGCTAGTGCAGAGGTGGCCACCAGGTGCTTGGGGAAATACTGCTCAATCCCTTTTCCTTATCGTTTGTCATCCTCTGACCTGCTTAATCAACATTGGTCTCTTGTCCGCCCCTGCCCAGGTGAGAACGTCTGCTCCCTGGGGCCAGGATTCGATCCGCGGTTTTTCACTGCTGGGTCCTCGATAGGGAATACAAACTCGCTGAATAGACGCATACGTGTTTAAAAATCTCTGTCTCCCAGGCTCATTTCCCTGTTGAGCAAGTTCCGACTGGGATTCCACGAGGTTCACATCCTTCCGGACATCAACCAGAAGCCGCGTGCTGAGCAGTGAGTGCTGTGTGTTGACTTCCTTCCCAGGCAGGGGGGGCAGCTGTGTGCCCCACACACCCCTGTCTGGTGAGCCCTGGGCAGACAGGGCTCAGGTCAGGCAAAGACGATGGGGAGTTTGCAGCCTTTTACTTTCCCGTTGGGGTTTCTTCCTTTGCATATCAGAGCTCAGGTCTTTGCGAGAAATACCCCTGCTGGAGGACGGTGAATGTTCACGTTTGTGCTTTTCTTGGAGCCAGTGTTTAATTTCATTTATTTATTTTTTAAAAGATTTTATTTATTTATTTATTTGAGAGAGAGAGAGAGAGAGAACATGAGTGGAGAAAGGTCAGCAGGAGAAGCAGACTCTCTGCTGAGCAGGGAGCCCAATGTGGGACTCGATCCCAGGACTCCAGGATTGCGACCTGAGCTGAATGCAGTTGCTTAACCAACTGAGCCACCCAGGAGCCCGGAGCAAGTGTTTTAAAGCTGGTGCAAGTCTCGGCTGTTCTGCCCCTTGAGTGAGGGAAAGCAGGTGTTTCATCCTCAAGGGACCCCACCCCCACCCACCCCATGGACCTGGGGGGATGGGCGGGGCGGGAGCAGGTCTCTGGCTTCACACTTCACACTGCTTGCTACTCGTAAATTTCTAAATTTTCTCCAGCACCCTGAAGGGTTGTCATAAAGTAGTGGTTCTTAAACTTCAGCCCACATCAGAATCACATGAGGACTTACAAAAACACAGCTTGCTGAGTCCCCCTCCTCCCCCCGCCCCTGCCCCAAGATTCTGAGTCAGTAGGTCCGAGGTAGTGCCTGAGAAGCTGCATTCCTAACAAGCTCTTGGGTGCTGGTCCGGGCGCTTCACTAGGAGAACCACTGTCTTAAAGACAGTCTGTGTAAAGTGCTTCACACAGCGTCCAGCCCCAAGTCAGTGTTCAGTAAATGGTAGGTCGATGGCTTTTGCCCTCTAGACCTTGACCTTTTCGAGGTCTTGGCTGCATTGTGGACTTGCTTCCTTCTCTAAGCCTTGCCTAACTGAAGTTCCTGAAAAAGGAGCTGTGACTGGTCCAGCTCATCCCTTCCCATGAGGCCAAGATGGAGGTTGCTGCAAAGCCTGCTTCTTGGCTACCTTTGCTCTAGTTGGCTATGTCCCGGGCTGGCAGAATCACATGCCCAGAACCACGTGGCTAGAGGCCAGGGGCCATGGCAGAGTTACATGCCTTCCACAGAGCTGAGGGATACTGGAGCAAACAGAACGGAAGGTGCAAAGGCCCTGAGGCAGAAGTGTGGCAGCCATAGCCCCCCATGTTATTTCTATGAACACACTGTGCTGGGAGTGGGGAAAACATTGAAGGGTCTGGGCCACATCTCTCCTCCTCCCCAGATGCAGCAGCAAGCTCATGGACTTTACTCAAATCCCCGTGTGAACTTGTAGCTAGGCTCAACGGCGGTGTCCAAAGGGATGACGACTCACTGGCTCAATGATTCAATCCCCTAGTCTGAAACTAAGACATTTATAATCGGGCTTGCTTTCTGTAAATCCCTGTACATGAGATTTTCCAGCCCTCCACCCCCTCAGTAAAGTCAGGTCTGTCCTGACCTCTTACCTCTCCCTTATATTCCCCATTACCTGGGGAGGGAAGGAACTAGTCTGTAGGGTTGGATACATTGGTTCTTCTCATGTGCTGGGGTGCAGATGAGTCCATCAGAGCTCCAGCCGGGGATGATACCCGCCCCAGTGCAGGCTGGAGGAAGTCCAGAACCAGACACAGGAGGAGGGAGGCAGAGATGCACCAGAACACAGAATAGAATGCAGCTGGGCTGTCTGTGTGGGCAGAGAAGCAAAGCCTTGAGTCAGGCCTCAAAGAGAGGGAGTGGGGGATACCTTCCCTGTGGGAGGAGCTTGAGAGCAAGCCCGAAGACCCTTCCCAGCAGCCCTGATCTTTAAAACCCGGCCTGGGCCCTTCTCTGCCTCCACCTCCTGGCCCTCTCTCTTCTCCTTCGCACAGCCACGCTTCTCCAAAGAGATGGACCGTCTTTGCAGCCACTTCCTCACGGAGATCCCCCTGGCGGTCATCACTGGCCTCCGCCTCACCCACAGAGCCCCTTTCTGGGCTCGTCTTGCTCTGCCTCTCCGCTGCATCCCCCATAATGGTCCCTCCTTGGGACGGCTCTTCCTTTGGGTTTAGAGGTGTCCCCCCTCCACAGATTCCTCCTACCTCAGCAACCCTTCTTTCATTTCCAGTTGCTGGCTAGTCCTCCTTTCCCTGGCTGATGCTTGCCAGCATCCTTGGGATTCGGCCCTGGACCTTTGTCTCTCTCTTTTTTTTTTTTTTTTTTAAAGATTTTTTATTTATTTATTTGATAGAGATCACAAGTAGGCAGAGAGGCAGGCAGAGAGAGAGGGGGAAGCAGGATCCCAGCTGAGCAAAGAGCCCGATGCGGGGCTCGATCCCAGGACCCTGAGATCATGACCTGAGCCGAAGGCAGAGGCTTTAACGCACTGAGGCACCCAGGCATCCCTGGACCTTTGTCTCTTAACTCTGTCCCCAGTGTAAGCTCCTCCATCTCTATGTCTGCAGGGGGCTTCATCTGAAGGCCGAGCAGTCTGAATTTCTATTTTTAATCCTGTAAGTCAAGTCACACAGAACAGCCTCCAACAGGTTCCCATCTCACTCGGGGCCAATAGCGAAGGCCTACATGGTCTAGGCTGTCACACTTGTGTGTCCTCACCTCACCACCACTTTCCTCTGCCCTCACCTTGCTCTGGCTGTACTGGCTTCTTTGCTGCTCCTCAAAGAAACCGAACATACTTCTGCCTCAGGGCCTTTGCACCTTCAGCTCTGTGTACTCCAGCACCCACTGGCCTGTAAAGAGCTGGCTTCAGAAGGACAGGCATCCTTCAGCTTCAGGGAGGCCTTCCTTCCCCCCAAATATTTCCTGTCCTGGAACCCAGCTTGTGTCTTCATTAAGCTCATGATGTAGATTTGCTTGTTTATTGTCCAGCAGATGGAAAGCTTGGTAGATAGAGGACATTGTAGGGTTTTTTGTTCCGTGATGTGCAGCGCAGAGCCTGGCACAGGATGGTTAGTGTTCAGGGACAACCTGCGGAACGGTCAGGTGGGTGGAGGTGAATCCCAGGTCAGGCGTCGTGGCCGACATTTGGTGGAATGCCAGCCCCAACGGTCAGTGCTGAGTGCTGCCCAGAAGCTGCGTTCATGTAAACCACAGAGGCAGAAGGGCTTTAGCTTGAAAAGCTTGTCCCTGTGGAGTCCATCTCCGTCTCCTCTGGGGGACCTAGTCCCCCTGGAAACCGAGCTGTCTCACTGGGTCTCACCCACTCTCTCTGTCCCCAGCACCAAGCGGTTTGAGGACATGATTGCACCCTTCCGCCTGAATGACGGCTTCAAGGACGAGGCCACTGTCACGGAGATGAGGCGGGATTGTCCCTGGAAGATCTCAGATGAGGAGATTAACAAGAACAGAGTCAAGGTACCTGAGAGAGAAGGGCCTGGCTGGGGTGGGGTGGGGTGGGGTGGGGATGGAGGTGCTTCTCCGGGTCAGGGCCACACGTGCCCCCACCTGTCCTGAGCTTCCTCAACACCCTCTCCTTTCCATCCCCTTCCACCACTCCCTGGCCTCTGAGGTATCCTCAAGCCACAGCTGCTGGGTAAACCAGTTGTGGAACTCGGAGCCATTCTTGGCCTGAGTCACACCCCGCTGTGGCGATGGAAAAGCGGGAGCTCTTCCTCTCCCCTCTTGTCACTGGTGGAAGGAATTCATGAGACAGGTGGCGAAGGTCAAGGTAAAACTTTCCTTGTGGCTCAACAAAGCTGGCTGATGGTTCCCCCTAGCCTGCAGAGCCCATCCTACATGTAGCCTAAAATCATGGCCACCCCATCCAGACAGAATCTTCCAGATTCTTTAAGGCCTAAAGGAGGGTTGTGGTTGCTGTGGCCACTTTAAAATCGGGTGAGCATTTAGGGAGCTGGGGAAGGAGGTCACAGCTCTGCTCCCTGTGCTCGGGGTCACTGGCCCCCACCCCCTCTTTGCCCTCAGAGGACATTTGGCAAAGTGTCCATTTACCACTGGAGGGTGGGATCACTACTGTCACTTAGTGAGTAGAAGCCTGGGATGATATTACACATCCTACAACCCACAGGACAGTTCCCACGATAAGGAACTATTCCCCCCAAAATGTCACTAGTGTAGGGTCTGGAGTCTGTGATCTCTGTGAACTCACTTTCCTGACATTCTCCATTTTCTCAAATGGGGTGTCCTCCCACGGTCAGACTCTTGAGTGCCAGTCATTTCTGAACAAACTGGAGACAGGCCTTGGGGTGGGAAGGAGGCTCCCCCACAACCCAGCCTCACACAAGCTTTAGGGAATTCTGATCTGTCAGCCCAGAGACCCTACCCCAGAGGGCTCACAGCTCCTTGGAAAACTCTGGATGAAGTGTAGTGTTTGAAGAAGGCTCTGGTCTGGACTGTGGCGGCGGAGGAAGAAGGGACACATTCCACCTGTGCTCTGAGTCTCTCTTATCAAGCACCTTTCGTGTGCCGGCCCTCGATGTCCACGTGTTTTTGTGTGGGTTATCGCCCTCAACGCTGCCCACGTTCCCCTGGGGAGGGGGTTATCGTACCCATTTTACAGTGAAGACAGTGACACTCAGGGAGGCCACATGCCTTGCTCGGGTTCTCTCTGCTGTGAGCAGCTCACCCCACACCACGGAGGGTGCTCTCTCTCCCAACTAACCCCCCACACACACACACCCCGGGACCAGCCCCAGTCATGGAAATAAGGTCTGGCAAAGTAAAGCCAAGTTCCCAAGGAGGTGAACTTGGCTCTCTGTTACTCTGAGGGTCTCCCTCCGTCTTGGAGGAAGGAGAGTGTAATAATTAAGGGAGAAGAATTCGTGCATCTGGTCTGAAATATTAAAGAAGACGTCGCTGGGCTTGTCGGGGACCACTCCTGAGGATGTGGGCAGTGACCCCCTGGCTTCTGCTTGCTCCAGTCCCTTCGGCAGGTGAGGCTGAATGAGATTCTGCAGGATTCCTCCCGGGACGCCGCTCTGGTGGTCATGTAAGTAGCTGCTGCTGGGAGAGGAAGCCCGTCCCTGAGGCCCAGGACGTCCGCTCTGGGAAGGGGCTCAGGAGGTACATGCCGGCTGAGGACCGGAGCCCGACTCTGTGAGTCAGAAGGGCCCAAAGCTCCAGGAAACGCAGCCCAGGTGGCTTCTTGGCACGTGACTGGGCCTGCTCCCGCTCGGCACCCCTCACCTGAGTGCCAGCTGGCAGAAGTCTAGGACCTCACACGCCCCAGGCCTGGCCGACCCCCCTCACCACCATTTTCCCCTGTTTGCCACCTTTCCCTGCCAAACACAGCTTGGCAAAGAGGACCCCACTCATTCAGGAAGAAAATCGATTCCTGGTTGTTTGGGAATCACCCAGCCCTCCTTGGCCATGGGCCACCCCTGGCTGCTGTGGGTGCCAAGCCTGGGCGGCAGCAGGGGCACAGAGTCACCGTGCCGGGCTCCGTGCCTGTCAGGCTGCTGTGGCCTGTTGCCAGCTCTGAGCCACTTCTGCTGGGTACAGGCCAAAGCTGAGGGCGTGGAAAGTGAAGGGACTGGTGGCAGTGGCACAGAGGGCCTCAGAGCGGCTCTGTTCTCACAGAGGCCAGCAGGAAGAACATGGTCAGCCAGGCCCTCTGACCCCCTCCCCCAGAGAAGCCTAGCTCAGAGGGAACAGGGTGTTTGGCAAGGCCCCTAACTGGCCTGGCTTGCATTTCCTGAGGGCAGGCCACCTGGGAATTCCTCAGGATGGCCCAGAAGCCTGCAGAACCAGTTTTCTCATACCCTGAGACCAGGATCAAGCATACCCTTTTGAGGCTCCAGTGCAAAATGAAAATGTGGGGCCCCTTGTTTGAAAATTGTTAAGAATGACAAGATGGCAGCAGCAGAGAATGGAACCCAGCATGGGACCCTTCTAAGTATGTGTTGGGGTGGGGTGTGACTACACAGCTTGCATGCCCACGAGACTGGCTCTGCCTCAACAGGGCTCCCTGGGGCTCTTAGGGAGAACATCTGGTACAAAGAAAGTGCTTTGTGTTTCCTTCATGTGGGAACTGTGGTAAGAGAAAGAGCTGCGTTTCTCTGGGACCCTCTGGCCAACACCCAGCAGTGAGTGTTCCTAGGGCAAGGACTGCCTAGGTTGTGGACCCGGTCCCAGTACAAGACAGTGGCTTCATCCCAGGACCGTGCCCCAGACCTTTCCTTGGGTGTGGTGCCAAGCTGCCTCCTTGTGAGGGTGAGGGCTAGCCCCGGTCAGAGAAGCGGGTTTGCGCTGTCTCTGCTCACTGTGTGGCCTTGGGCAAGTAACCCTACTTCTCTGTGTCTCTGTCTCCCTGATTATAGAGAAGGGTTTAACCTAATTATTTCCAAGGTTGCCCTTCATGCCAACATGCTATGATTTTAAGTTTATTTGCCACTAAGATAAGCCAGTCTCTCAAGCCATGAGATGAGAAATTTCACCCAGGGAAGTGAGCCCCCGCGGGCACTTTCTCCACCCCACTCCCCTATCCCCTGGACCCCAGAGGGAAAGACAGTCCCCCCACCCCAGCAGCCTTTGGGGGAGTAGCAGACACAAATAATCATGAGTCCAGTCACTTTATTTTTTTAATTACTTAATTAATTAATTTATTATTGTTATTTATTTATTTGAGAGAGAGAGTGAGCAGAGGGAGAAGCAGACTCCCCACTGAGCAGGGAGCCCGACACGAGGCTTCCCACCTTCACTGGGAGGGCACAGCCGCTGAGCCTTGGCATTGCCAACCTCCAACCCAGAGACATGCCCACCAGTGTTTCTAAAAATTCAGTCTGAGGGTCACTTTCATCGGTCCCAAGATTTGGCACATTCCTCAGTTCCTTCCAGATCAGGGTCTGGGGTGAGGTGGAGAAGACTGCATTCCCCAGAAATTCCGAGGGAGGAAAAAGTCCTCCCCTCCCCCCTCAGGAGGAAAGACAGAATTACACTTTCCAGTGTTCTGAAGAGCGTCCTCAGACCATTTTCTAGAGCAGGTTTGAGGCAGAACTTAGTTGTTCGCTGTCTACCGGACAGCAGTTAATCTGATTAATGGCCTGTGTTTGAGTCCAGCTTCGCCCTCGCGGCTGATAAACCGGCCCCACAGCTTTTGCCTAGATGACGAGCAACCTATTTCTGCTCTCCCTTTTGGAGCTAGACCCTTCACTTTTCCTATAAAGAAACCCTCCTCCAAAGCAAATGATAATTGAAGTAACGATCATCAACATTGCGTTTTACTGATTGAGCCTCACCCGAGGCATAGGGCCTTAGTAATTTTCAAAACTCTGTTCAGTGATTCTGTTTTACCCCCGTCTACCCGGCAACACACAGACTTTGGAGACAGGGAAACTGAGTCTCAGAGGAGTCAGGCAGCTTGCCCGGGACCCCGCAGCCAGGAAGCGGGGATTGGGTTATGAAGCCTTCGATGCAGGTTTCAGGCCGAGGCTGCCTTTCTTTGTGGCCAAGAGATGCAAATCTGAACGAGAAGTCCTTCTGTCCTGGGGCTGCTTTATCTCTGAAGATTCGTAGCTGTCAGGGTCTCACAGCCTGGGAACAGGAGTCCACGGTCTCTCGCTGGCCCAGGGGCGAGTGCAAAGGGAGCCTGTCCCTTGGACGGGTGGACACTCTCCGCTGGGGAAGGGGGCATGACACGGAAGCTTGAAAGGCCACAGCAGGAGTGACGGACAGGTGTCCCCTGCCCCTGAGAATGCAGCCACCAGCCCCCTCGCGGCCTTTGAAATTTCTGAATTCAGTTCTTGAGAATGACGTAGGAGTCCCCCAAGGGCTTTGCTGACAATGTAACAGAAACTTCAGCACCACTGTGAAATCAGGAAAGTTTCGTTTTGATCTTTCCACTTCCCTTTCTCCTTGAATCACCGGACACGAACGTGCTCTAAGGTGACGCCAGCTTCATGAAATAGCCCCGTTCCTGCGGCCTTTCCCTGTCCAAGCAAACTGCTTCTCTTTTTAAAAAATAGTTTAATTTCTTTATTTTAGAGGGAGAGAACAGGGGGAGGAGCAGGAGGAGAGGGAGAAGCAGACCCCATGCTGAGCATGGAGCCCACGTGGGGCACGACCCTGAGATCACAACCTGAGCCGAAGCCAAGGGTCCAAGACTCAACCGACTGTGCCACCCAGACGCCCCGGGGACCTTGCTTTCTAAAGGAGGGTAGAGGTGGTCCCCAGGGAGGCTTCGAGGATGGAATTTGAAACAAGGGACACGTGTCCAGGGCCCCCTGTTGGCCTTCTCAGTATGGGTCGCTGTGAGCAGAGGCATCTGGGGTGGGAAAATCCCAGGACCTTGGCTGGAGCCCCAGCTCTGCAGCTCACCAGCTTGTCACTTCCCCTGGCTAAATCACAATGAGTGTGACAACGGCCGCTTCCATGAGGAGGTGCTTGCCAGGTGCTAGGCACTGCATGGCGCCCTTTGTCACCTCTGTCCCCTTTAGAGCTCGCCAACAGCCTCTGAGGGAGGTGTGTGTGTCCTCACCTCAGGGAAGAGAAAACAGAGGCTCAAGGCTGGGAGCCACCTGCTAAAGCCACATGGCCGAGGAGGGGCAGTGCTGCTCCCACCTGTGGCCAGAGCCCGGACTCTGCAGCCCAGAGTCGCTCCTGTGCTCAAGTTCAGAGGTAATAGTGGCCAGGGATGTCCTGTAGGGAAACAGACTGCAAAGGGCAGCCCCAGCTTTATGTCCCGCCCACTGGGCCTGGGAGATACTGCCTTCTCCTGGAGTCAAGAGGAGGTCCGCTGTGGTCATCCTGCAGCATTTTTGGAATTGCAAGATGGTGAGAAAGTCACCTCCTGGAAGAGCTGAACAGCAGTCCCCCGGGCATCTCATTATCTGCACAGCATTGCACGGCAAGGGTGCTCTCAGGGCCTCACGAACATGGCAGAAGGCAGGACAGGGACCCGCAGCTGAAACTTGTGAGCAGATCACCTCGTCATGGCCACAGGCCAGTATGATTCAAGCAGCCGGAGGTAGTGAGATCACCCACTGTATCAGACTGTGTTCTAGGTGCAGGGAAAGGATAGTGAGCGAGACAGACCTGGCTGGAACGTACGATCTAGTGGAGGAGACAGACAACAAACAGACAAATGAAAAGAGGGTTTGGAGAGTGGGAAGGGGTGTGAGGACAATGAAACAGGGTGCTGTGATAAAGAGGGGCAGCAAGCTTGCTCTGGAAGGGAGTCATCAGAGAAGGAGATACAGGTGAGCCAGTGGCCTGGGTGATCTGAAAGAGCCAACCAGGTGGAAGGGGAGAGGCTCTGCCTTCTGGGTGGGGAGAACATCACATGCAAAGGCCCTGGGGCAGGAGCAAGCTTGCCATTTATTTCAGGGATGGGAAGAAAGCCATTACGGTTGTAGTGTTGTGAGCAAGGCCGAGGGTAAAAGGAGGTGAGGTCGTGGATGTTGGTGGATACCAGATCGTGTGAGTCTTACAGGCTGTGGCTTTGTTTACACCAGCTTTGTGGCTGAAGGTACATTTGGAGTCGTGCTTTAAGGAAAGTGGGAGGTCGTTCTTAGGGTGGCTAGGAAGAAGGAGTGCTGAAGGACTTGGTAAACAGAGTTCCTGATCAGAAAGTGAATCATGGGCTGGGCTGTGTGGGGAAGGGTACTGGTAAGTTTTTATCTGCTGCTTCTTCCTGCCTTGCAGTACCTTGCCCATAGGGAGGAAGGGGAAGTGCCCGAGCTCGCTGTACATGGCCTGGTTGGAGACGCTGTCCCAGGATCTCAGACCTCCGGTTATCCTGATCCGAGGGAACCAGGAAAATGTGCTCACCTTTTACTGCCAGTAACTCCAGGCTGGGCCATGCCTGCCCAAAGCCGAGGGTGCCTGGGACATCCGCCTGTCCGCGGGGACAAGACTTGTGTCCTGTTGTACTTTAAACATCTGTTGATCTGACTGAAGAAGCTGGTAGATTTCCAAACTTTGGCTGGACCCCACTCCCAATGGACACATCCTCTGGGCTTGTTTTTATGGGCTAGAGAAGTAACCGCTGAAGTTGTGTGGAAAATTCTCTGGTGGATCCATTTTCCTTTTAAGTTTTCTCTTGATCTTGATTACAACGAATTAAGATTTCAGTCTTTGATTTTTTTTTTTTAAGATTTTATTTATTTGACAGACAGAGATCACAAGTAGGCAGAGAGGCAGGCAGAGAAAGGAGGGGAAGCGGGCTCCCTGCTGAGCTGAGAGCCCGATGTGGGGCTCAATCCCAGGACCCTGAGATCATGACCTGAGCCGAAGGCAGAGGCTTTAACCCACTGAGCCACCCAGGAGGCCCCAGTCTTTGATTTTTTGAAAAATTTGTTTATTTGAGAGAGAGAGAGACAGCGTGCACAGGAGCAGGGGGGAGGGGCAGAGAGAGGAAGAAGCAAACTTCCCGCTGATCTGAGGATGTGGGGATATGGGGCTCTATCCCAGGACCCTGGGATTATAACCAGATCTGAAGGCAGATGTTAACCCACAGAGCTGCCCGGCACCCCCAGACTTTCATTTATATGCAAATTTGAATCAGAGTGCTGAGTACCAATGTAGTATCAGGGGGGTGGGGGTTCCCCCCCCCACCCCCCCACCCCCCACCCCCCCCACCCCCGCCAGCAGCCCTCACAGGGAGGAATCACAGGGCCCTTTGAGCCTCCATGATGCAAATTTCTTTAACCTCTTCTCACTCTCTTCACTTTCCATAATATGTCTTTAGCGTTGGGGTTTAGACCAGGGACTTTTAAACCTGTTTAGGCTGCAACCCACAATAAGAAATATCTTTCATGTTTGAGACTTGAAGCAAACACACACTGAAACTATGAACGTGTCACAAAACAATACTTATTCTCACTATGGGTGTTGCCTTCTGGTATTTTCTGTTTTATTTCTTTGTCTTTTTTTAATGTGGGTTGCAATCCACGAATGGGCGGTGACCCAGGATTTGAAGAAAGGCCAAGTTGGTCGTCACTGCCGTTTCCCCAGCACATCCCGCGGAGAAGGGAAGGAACAGAGTATTTGAGGAGGGGTACCGATGGTGGGCGTTAGTCAAGAAAGAGCTTCAAAGGAAGGACAAGACTCAGGGTTTCTCATGGAAAGGTGCTAACTTTTGGGTTTGGTTGGAGATGGGGGATGGAGCTCTAGGGATGCAGGTTTGGTGGGTCAGGAATGGAGAAGCCGAGAGGAGGCATAAAGATGGCCAGATTGGCGCAGGATCAGAAAGGTCCACACTCCACCCCAGGCCAGGGAAAAGAATGGGGCTGGAGAAAGCAGCAAGAGATGGAAGCAGAGGGGGCTGCGGTGGGGGTGCGTGGAAGATGGGGGTCGGAGGTGGGAAGGAGCCTGGGGAGGACGAGCCCGGCTCAGGTAAGGGTGTTTGGATACTCCCAGAATGTTTGCGCCCATGAAGCTAGGACAAGGAGTAGAATGTACATTAAGGATGTCCAGTGCCGGTGGGCAAGCCTCCCTAAAAAGACATTTCAGCTCTAGATGCACCCCAGCAGCATACAAGCGGGATGTTGGGGGGCTACTGGCTGTGCCTTTTGCAATAGCCACTTTCTTCAGGTTGGAAAGAACAAGATATCTTCGGGTCAGGTTGGCCCCCTCCAAGCCCACTGAACTGCCCACTTAGTCATGAAGGCAGAAATCTCTTTCTTAGTGTCTGGACCCAAAGGACTTTGGTTCCTCGCAGGTACACTTTGCTGCAGAGACCAAAGGCTCTGGCTCCCACCTATGACAGGCCCCCCCGGGTGCTTCCCAGTATCAGGACTTCCTGAGAGCAACCGGGTGCCTGGCTGTGCTCCCCAGGGTGGCTCCTGCCTCTGAGCCATTCAGCAGACCTGGGACCAACCCCCAACTCCAGAGAGACAAAGCCTCACTCAGCCTTGCCTTTTTAGAACCACATAGAAAACTATTTCCTGACAAATAGCTCACAAGGAGATCAGGAAGACTCTGATCCAAGGTCACACAATCCTCTGGCTGAGGACATTCAAACAAACCAACAAACAAAAAAATAATCTTTACTCTCTTGGAAACTGCATTTTGAATAATGATAATAGCCTTGTTTTTCTGTGTTTCATTTTAAAGCCTTGAGTGAACAGTAAGGTCAAAAACAATGAAATGAATAAAAAATACATTCACTCAGTCAACAGAATTTATTTGTTTTGGAACACACTGTTTCTCAACGCTGCTGAGTGTTTTGAAAAATTAACTGTATTGTTTTCTCAACCCTGGATTGAACTTTTCCCTGAGCTTCCCCGGGTTCTTTGGGTTATATTGCCAGATTTCCAAGTGGGCATCTACAGGAGACACTCGTATTCCCTTTGCTTCTCTTGCCTGTGTTTGCAGACTCACAGGGAACTCGTTTTCTTCTGTCATGATAAAAGTCTCCAAGTGTTCTCAATCTTGCCTCAACCTGAGAAGTAGAGGGGTGGAGTGGAAAGTCATGGCCTGGCCACCAAGAGGCTTGGACCTGAGTCTCTGTCTCCCTCCAAAACTGGCTGTGTAACCTCAGATACCTCTGAGCCTCTCTGGGCCTCCGTCTGTGACATGAGAGAGCTGGACTAGAACAGGTGTCACCGGCCACCTGGCCTGCTGATGACTGTGGTTTAGCCCACGCATGGTTGATCAAAGTCATGGGTACTGGGGGTTAGGTGGAGAACACATTTTTCAGCCCACCCTCCCCTTGGCCATGACTTCCCACTGCCCTTCCTTGTGATTGGGGGGCTCTCGAAAGCCCTCCGATTCATTGTTTGGCCCATAGAGCAGCAGAAGGGTAACAGATTTCAGTCCCCAGTGTATCTCTCGCGCGCTCTCTCTCTCGCTCGCTCGCTCTCTCTCTGCGTGTGGGTGATAAGATCCTCCAACTTCATGAGTTTCAGTGGTAGGAAGGGTTTCCTGTATAGTCTTCCCTTGCATTGTGCATGGAAGGGGGCCCAGCGGCAGCCAGCAGCCACTCGGACCACCTCCCAGCAGGGGCACCTCACCCCTGTCCCCTGGGAGCCACTGTCCAGTCAGCTCTCAATTTTCTCCGGGGCATTTCAGCCTCGAGATTTCACTTCCTCCTTCGGTTCCTGCCCAGGCTTGTGGCGGCTTTGAAGCAAGAACAGTATGGCCTGTTTTTCACCCAATAGGCTTGTTGAGTTCTACCTCCCAGGCAGAAAACCGTGGGCCTCGTGAGCACATGGAGCATCCTCATTTGGACTGGATTCCCTTTTGCACACCAGCCTGGCCTCTCTCATGTGGTGAGGGAGAGGTGAGTTTTACAGGGACGAGGCCAGCTGGAATGTTCCAGAAGAACCACCTGGCTGGGAGGCCCCAAGCACATGCAAAGCAGCCAGGTTTCACTTGTAGCTATGTTTAGCTCAGGAAGTCACAAAAAACAAAACAAAACAAACAAACAACAACAAAAAAAAAACCTGCTAAATTCAAAAGCGTTCACAGAAGTGGGACCCAGGAAAGCCCAGTCACAGCTGTACTGGTAATTCCCCATTTGAAGTGAGGGATAATCTTGAGATTGAAAGCGCAGGCATCATATAAGAGCTGCTTCTTGAAATGGAGCCAAAACAAATTCAGTTTCTAAAAATGCCATGTGGGTAGAGCCTTGCAAAGAACCACCTGGCCGAGAAGACAGACTGCAGAATGCCATACAGACGAAGGACAGAGTCAAGAGAGAACGAAGTGTTTTTCGTCCTAGCTTGTAAGAGAGTTACAGACAGAGGCTCCGAGGATGTGAAAAGGGGAGTAAATACATGAGATTTAGGGAACTAGGCTAGTCTCTCTAGAGAAAATGGCATTTAGAATAGGTGTGAATGATCGCTAGGATTCTACAGATAGAAAGGAGGGCTGGGGTTGGGTCCTCCCAGGAGGTAGGAGTAGTTTGAGCAAGGACCCAAACGAGGAGAGCCCTTGTTTGGACAACAAGCAATAAGCCAGTTTTCCTGGCATATGAGGGCTGTGGATGTGGGAAAATAAGATCAGGAAAGTCATAATGTGGAAGGCCCCCACTCTGAGGCTGAGGAGCTCATAACTGACCCAGAGGCACTACGGAGCCACTGAAGGTGAAGGGCAGATCGGAGATTTAGGAAGCTTGGCTGGTCAAGAGATGGAGGAGGCTGGAAGAGGAAAGGGCACCCAGGGAGGAGGCTGTGCAGACTGCAAAGGCAAGTCATCAAGGCCCAGCACTCTAGGAGCGGCAGAGGGCACAGAAAAGAGGAGATGGAGGAGAGGATGAATAAATCGTACCTTCTAGAACTAGGAATTTCCCGGATGAATGTGTGGGTGGAAATAGGGCCCCAAAAGTTGAGCCTGGGCAGCTGCAAGATGGGGAAACCATGTACTATGGAGGGCAAGGTAATAGACTTTCTGCTGGAGGAAGAAAGAGTAAGTGTATTTGGGGTACTTGATGGGTGAACACATCCCAGTGGGCAGAATTGTCCTAGAGCTCAGAGAGTTCAGGGTGTCCACTGATAGCTAAGTGCTCTTAGAGAACACAGACCATGCATAGATTCGGATATCACACTCATGAACAAGAATATTGAAGCCAAAGTTTGAGTGAGATCACCAAGAGTGAAAGTAGAGAGAGTGGAGAGGGTTGCAGGCTAGATCTTGGGATGGGCTATATTTAGGGGGGCAGGAAGAAGGAGGGGCAGCCAGCATAGCAGCCTAAGGACCAGCATTGGTGGGACAGGAGGAAAACCTGGATAACCAAGCTCTCAGAAGACACCAGAGAAAGGGTTGAAGAAGCAGAGCAGACCCTCAGGACAGCTGTCTGCAGAGGGCCTGAAGCTGCTAAGAATGCTATTGAATTTGGGGTACTGGCCATCACCGGGAGCTTTGCAGAGAATCATTTGGTAAAGTGGTGAGTCAGGGACCAGGGATTGAGGAATTTGTAGAGAGAAAAGGAAAGCAGCAAACAAGAAT